CCTGACATTACTTCCTATACAAAGATTTTAAAGTTATTGGGTTACCTCCTTATAATAATGATGAGGGCTAACAAATGTCACTTAGAAAAAGAAAATCTAGAAACAAAAGGTTTCAACTGCTTTCTTGTATTAATATTTTGCCTGTTTGGCTAATATACGCTATTGTCTGTCAGTTTAGACCTTTTATCGCTGGATATAGTGCTTTGACAATGAAAAACCATGTTCCATCATGTTACAGATGATATGACAGATACAGAAAGCTCTGACTGCAAATCTCTAAGTCCATGCCTCAAAGGCTGGTGTGAAAGGGAGGTATCCTTAGTGGAGGAGCTAGAGGGGGGAGAAAGAATGAGTAAATCATTCATTAGTGGGTCAATATGTGGTCTCTGAGATAATATCAAATGTGAATTCACACCTGTGTTGTCACTGGTGGACCTCTCCAAATTATTATTTTTAAAGCAGAGAAATATAAATACAGTGTAGCTGCTAACTCTGAGCATCTAATTACGGTTTATAAAATTAATAAATATAAAACATATAGGTTAAGGTAGGCTTGATTTCTTATTAATAAACACTGAAAATTTAGAATCCGTGCAGAAAACATTTCTACAATGAAGTATTTATAGATTTGTTCCACTCATGTTTTTTATTTTATAAATGTTACTTTTATTATTTTTTATTCTTTTTTAAAATTGGAATACAGTTGTTTTACAAGGTTGTGGTAGTTTCTGCTGTATAGCAAAGTGAATCAGCTATAGGTTTATATATATCCCCATGTTTTTTTTTATTTCCTTCCCATTTAGGTCACAGGAGAGCATTAAGTAGAGTTCCCTGTGCTATATAGTAGGTTCTTGCTAGTTATCTATATTATACATAGTATCAATAGTATGTGTACGTGTATATATATATATATATATATATATATATATATATATATATCTGTCAACCCTAATCTCCCAAATCATCCCACCTTCCTTTTCCCCAAGGGGTTTTATTGATCACTAAAATAACTCCAGAAAAATTTTAAGATAACTGAACTCTACCTCTGCAGATCTATCTATCCATTCAGTAACTTTTTCTCCCATAAAAGGTCATTCGTAAATGTTAGTTTTTTAGGTGCCCCAGAACAAATTACAAATAGCTGGGTGCTACTGCAGATGCTCTGCAATTATCTACTTGCTGATCTCACCCATTTTATTGTGATTCACTTGACTGGGACAGAGAAAGAGAAGTCTGGTAAGAACTATTAATATATTTACTTATATATTTACTAGATAGTAAAAAACCCTAACATTTAAATTACATATATATTTAAATATATATGTACGTAGACATATTTAAAGGACTAAGTCTATTAAAGACTATATCACTTTATAACTGGGCAGCATTAAATAAATTATACAGTACTCAATTCAAATCAAGGGCAAAGTGGTTTACTTGAGTATGATATTGCTTTGCATTTCAAGTGATGTGACTGAAATATATGAAATCAAGAGGCTGCTCATGAAAACAGTGCTTCTAAAATATTCTCAACTTCATAGATGGTCTGAACTCCCTCTATCACCCATGGGCAAATGAACTCAGAGATCCTCCTTGTCTATAAAAGAAGTGACCTCTCCTTTCCTGCTAAGCACTCCGCTCACTGGAATAGCCATTTGGGTTTTCTCTTTCCAAGATCCAGCCACTACCCTCTCCCAATCCTACCCATCAAAGGTCATGAAAGTGGAACAAAAAGTCCCAGCTGAGGGATATACTACTGACACAGTGCTTAAAATAAGATGAGGGATAAATTCAAACTTCATTTGGGAAAGAGAAAATCCACATTCTTCAAAACTATAGAATCACATTTATTAGAGTTGGAAATACCCCTAGTCACCCACATATACAGTATTTTCAGGGGAGTATCGCGCCTTGTGTTTGCACGTGGATTGTGCACACGGAACAATCTGTTATGGGACAGACATTCCCCTTAAGCCTCCCTTCACTCTCCTAACTCCATTTACACGAACACTGGCTGAGGGCTCCTAGGAAGCAAAGGGGGCATAATCTACTGAAACTGATGAGGCACTCGCATTTCCTTTCAGCACTGGCTGCCGCCTGACATTTGGCCAAAGCACTTTTGTGATGAGCAGAACGAGTGCTCCCCTGATTATAAATGTTATCGCTGGCTCTCTCCGTTTGCCCAAGAAGCCATTCAAATGGTATTGGAATTCTGTTGTTAATTAAACAAAAACAAAACTGAAAGATGAGCCTAGAGTTGCTCCAATGAAGATTTATTACTTCTAAGCATGAATCCACTTTAAGTCTAAACTTATTTGACAACGAACGCAGAGGAAGGATTTTCTTCTTTCGTGAGTTCAAAAGGCCCGATTTAATGATGTTTAAAAAACATCAGTAAATCAGCCAACAAAGCGAATGTTTCTCTTTCATGGTGGCTTGTTCTACCCTCCCCTTGCTACATGCATACACATAGTGAAAAGCTATATTGTAAAGAGTGTTTCTGTTTCGTATGGAAAAAATCTAATTATACAAACTCCCTTCCATATGGAACCAATTTAACTATTAAAACTGAGAGGCAGCAGGGAAGTATTTAATATGATTCTGGGCCAGCTTCCGCTGTCCTCTTCCCTACCCCACCCCCCCTTAAATCTGATATGGAAATATTTACAGCATTCCTTATTTTCCCAGAAACGATTTTTCTTCAATTTAAATATGCATCAGAGCAAGATAACCCTATTAAGACACAGGATATTATGATACTTGGAATGAAATATTCTAATTGCCTAGATTCATCGCCCCCTTTCCCCCACCTCCCCCCCTCCAGCTGAGCTTATAGAAAAACTGCATTGCCAGTGTATCTGAGCCACTTTTCCCAAAGCACAATACTCTGAATCTATTATCTTCTGGCAGCCAGAGGTCACTCCAAGACAAATGTGTGGGCTAGAGCTCTGGGGGGATACGGTGGTGGTGTGATTCCGGTGATAATAATCACTAAGTGATAGTATGGAGCTTCATTTTGTACTAGAACTACAAAAGCAAAAGCCTAAGTGCTTAGAAACATCAAAATTAAGTTAAAATCTTAAAACGCACTTTCCTTATTAATTGTTTGGTGGTTACTGTTCATTAGGGGAAACAGTCTCTGCTTCTTACCCTTCCCCAATCGACACCAATTATATCAAATAAAATAGATAAGGACTAGGATTAACACCTCCCCTGAATCTATTTCAAGCCGTAAAGAAAAAAAAAGGAGAAAATGTCTTAACTACAAAGGCTGTCTGAATCGTTTTACAGGATTAATGAACTGCAGGAAATAGCATAAAAGTTTTTTTTTTTTTTTTTTGAGAGGGAGGGGAGGAGCATACACTTCTACAGAAAAAGTCGGTAAGAAAATCTTAAAATCATTTTGGGAAGGGGAAAAAAAAAACTTCAGGTTTAAGAACGTGGATCACAGGGAGGTCTCCTCCCTTTCCCTTTATCCGTTGCATATTCTAAAAATGATTAAATTCCATTTCCCTCAAACCACCGGAGAAAGGACAAAAATTTTGCTCTGGGCACGTCGGAAAAGAAGATTTCATCTCAAGCAGCTCATCTTAGCGTCCAGTACGTTTCGGCCTGTTAATAATTAATAAAAGAGATGCCACCCAATCTCTAGTGAAGAAAGGCAAAGCTCGGTGATCCGAAAGTAAACCTAGGCCAGATACCGAACCTGTTTCCTTCATCCAGGATTGCAACAAAACCTCCACCTTAGCAAACGTTTAACGAGCGCCCCGCGCCCACTCTGACGGGCAGACCCCGCAGGACTGTCTAGGTCTGAGAAACTGCGGCGCGTTAAGGGAGCCCGGTCCGCGGCAAACAGATGGGGCTCTAAATCCCCGCTCCCAGCGGCCGGGTCTGTGAGGCCACTCGGGCAGATTAACCACCCCGAAGAACCTGCTGGCGCACAAGCGGGCGGCGGGGTGCAGGCTGAGTTTCTCTCGGGCTGTTGGCTTGTCTCGGCTTCTCCAGACCGCGCAGGCGACTTCCTGCACATCTCCAAACTTTGGCTTTCTCATTAGAAACTTCCCTGACTTGCCACGGTTTCTTTCCTCCTCACCTAGGGGGACCTGAAGCCAGTCCTCTCTCCAGCCAGTGCCCCCTGCCATCCGGCCACCAGCCCGGCTAAGGACTTCTGATCCGGGCCGGAGGCCAGGCGAGGAGGCTCAACTGAGTCTTGACCACTACTAATCTGCGCCCGCCGGCTCCTCGCCGCCGTCTAACCTCCACCACTGCCCGCGAATCCTGTGGGGGGTGAAGTTGCTTCCCCACATCCATCCACAACCCAAAAGTATCAAGTCGGGGTGCGCTGCGGCTGCGGGCGGCCCCCGAGGGAGTCTTGGCACGTTCCAGAAGCCCGTCTCGCTAGGGCCTGGGCTCTTTCGGAAGTGGCCCAGGCGGGCACGCAGCGCGGACCGGCCGTTCAGGGCTGCCCGGCCGCAGAGGAGGGGAGGGCCCAAGGCCCGGGGCGCTGACCAGTACCCGGGGATGACACCGCACCCGCGCGCACGCTCAGCCGGGCCTGGCCGCGGCGCCTTCCCTACGCAGGCCAGAGCTGTCCGGGGTGCGGGCCCTGGGGACCCGTCGCGGGCGCCCTCGGCTTCCTCCTAGCTCCTCAGACCCTCCCCTCCCTGCCAGAAGCGCGGCGACTCCTAGCAAACTTTCTTCCGGGAGCCCCGCCGGGTGCCAGGAGGACCCGGGCGACTGACAGGAGCTAGAGGGGACAGAAGTTGGGGGGGGGGGCGTCCAGCCCCTGCGCCTTTGCCCCGACAGGAGGCAGGCAGATCCCGTGACCCGGCTCAGGGGGCGCCGCTGCAGGGGCCCAAAAACCCTGGCGGGGTTCCCGCGGCCAGCCTCGGGCAGTACGTGCGCTCGGGCAGGCGCGCCCACCCCTCCCCCTGCACGCCCGCCTCCCCGCCCCCCGGAGCAGCCAGCCCACCCGGCCCCGGTGGGGCGCCCGGGCTCACCTTTCATCGCTGCGATCACAAAATACATCATTTAAGCCGCGGTGAGGAGAGCGCAGGGAGAGCGGATGGTCCGACCCCGGAGCCCCCTCTGCCGCCGCCGCGCCGCCGCCGCCCGAGCCACAGCAGCAGCTGCAGCAGCTGCCCGCCCGCCGAGAGCCATCCCGAGCCATAAGAGGCTCCATGTGACCGGCTGACATCACGGCCGCCGCTCTGTTTACACCGCGCCCCTCCACTTCCTCCCCGGGCGGGAGGCGGGCGGCGGGAGGCGGCGCGCCCCGGCACCGCGCCCCGCCCCGCCCCCGCGGGCAGGTGAGCGGCCGCGGCTCCCGGGCGCACCCCGGCTGGCGCTCTGCCCTCTGGCACCCCCGGCCCGCATCCGGACCCCCAGCCTGCTGCCCGCTTCCCAGGGCACCTGTGGCCTCCCGGGCGCTCTCTGCGCCCAGCGCCCTTCTGATCGCGCATCTACTTTCTCCTCCGACCCCTTGGGCAAGAAGGGCGCAACCTGACGCTACTTTCCCGCTCCCTTCCCGGCACTTCCAGGGGTGACAAAAGCGCCAACTCCTAGGCGGAAAAGCAGGGTTTGTTCGGTCTCGCGGGGCGAGGGGTGGGCTATAGTCTCCCTCACTTCCAACTTCTCAGATCACCCCAGTTTTATTCGGAAGGTAGAGCCCCCTCCGGGGCGGTGGAGAACGGAGTCACCCTGACTGTTCAGGAGTAATAGTTTCCTCAGTCTTTCCTGGGAGACTCGGCCTGAGAAAAGGGAATTCCGCCCATCGAGACACTGATATTTCTCATCCCACCAACATTTAAGGTCCTGGTTTACACCTCTCCCTTTCTGCAGGACCACCGATACCTGGAAGGAGAACAGACAACTGTATGTGAATCACCTAAATGTACTCCAGTTGCCAGCCGATATGAGCCACTAATTTCCCAGGCTCTTCCATATCCACCATTCTCTCCAGAGAACCCATCTACAAGTGGAAAAGGTTCTAGTTTTCACATTCTAAAAGTGAGATGTTTTGGTACTTTAGACAGGAGAAAAAAAATAAAATCATCACCACCACCACCACCACCAAATAACCAAGCAACCTCTAAAGGTCAACTTTGTGAATTTTAACTTGCAACTAAGGCTAAATTCCCTCCAAACTTTGAAACTTAATCCTTTTAACTGGCCTTACGGAAACTTAAATCATGATATTATTATCAGATGAATCTCTTTACTATGAACTTCAGATGCTACATACCCAGAGACCACATTATTTAAAATTTCAGCAGGCTTGTCAACAGTATTTAGCATAGCAGAAAAAAATTATCAAAAGCCAAGATCGCTGCTTACTACTGTTCCTTCACACAATTTCAACTCTGCTTTCTTTTCTGATGGCCTATGTTTCCATTTACAACTCAGATATTAGATGGTTATTAGTTGTTGCATTCATGGTAATTAAGCACGAAGAGTACTAACAGTTTTTCCCATATAACTGAGTTGTCCTTGCCTCTGAGTTGGGACGTAATTTAAAACACACGCAGACAATCAGCACTGCAAAAACTAAGATTTATACCTCTCCCACCCCCGACCCCCCTTCAAGGCAAAATTTACAGAGTGCTCTAATTTAGAAGGTTAAAAAAATTCATGATACCTTAAATCAAGCCATACCTTTATAAAAGTTTGATTTCAGCTAGTTATCCTAACAGTTTTTTTCCCCTAATAAAACCACAAAAATCAGAAATCATAACAGTGTAAAGCCAAGACCTACCCATGTTAACTCAGCTGTCCAGCCATAGCGAAGTGGACAAGAATTTCAAATGAATCAACCATACCCACTGTGATGTTTACAGTGATGAAATTAAATCACACCACGTTCCCATGATGCAACTACATCTCCCAGTGAGGCAACGCCCCTCAGTTATACGGACACTGTCCTTCATATGTGGCTCTTGATTTCCCTTGTCCTACTGACTTTAATAAGGACAGGTAATGCTGAGCTGTACTATTGGTAGGTCTGGGTACAGTTTTCTTTCCTTTGTATTGTTAAAGGATGGAAAAACATCAGAGACTGCATACTCCTAGGGAAGTTTTTCCATACTCACTGCAAATGAATCCAGACAAATGACTCTGAAAATTCAGTGTTACTTTAAAACAGCATCCTGCTTTAGAAAATAATGCTTTGAAAATAACCAAATCCATTAGCTCCAGCCTGCCTGTCAGACATCTGACTCCAAGGTAAATAGTCTTACATTACTAGTAATCGGTATTTATTTCCAGACCATTTCAAATGAAATCAGTAATTGGGAATGACATGTAACATGACATATGCTCCTGCAATTACAAGGAGAAGAATCATTCATCCTATACATATGTCCCCAATAGAAATATAATGTCATAAATACTTAAACTTGAAATATTTATACTTTTATTCAACAAAGACATTTCCATGATAAGGTAACACCGACCTTGCCCTTTAGAAATGTATTTCATTCTCACCATACAACTAATGAGCAACAGAATTTCAGATATTAAGTCACAGTAATCTTCCTGTGTGGCTAGATGCTATTTGTAATACATGCCTCTATTAAATGCATTTTTTCATTTTCAACACAACTTTTAACCCAGAGTATATTAGTGTTTATATTAACACAAAACTCTCATGAAACTTCAAAGGTAAATATGAGAGGTTTCTATTTCTTTAAAAACCCTCTTGAAATACAACTTTTCTACAGAGTTAAAAGTCCTCAACCAAGTAAATCAGTAAGGAATGAAAGGATCTGTACTTCCACACTGAAGCCAAAAAGGAAGCACATTTCGGTGCAGACTTTTCCCAGCTAAATATTAAAATACAGGAATAATTATTTGGTTTCCATAAAACACACACTCCTGGAGTACCAACTATGGGAGTAAAACAGTGTTAAGTAGTTTACTTTTCCCATTTGAAAATTTTTACCAAGTGTTCTGAAGGAAAAATAAAAGCTTAAAAAAAATTGATTACAGGAAGGTAATTAAACCAGATGAGAACTCTTTACCATGAATGGGATTATATCATACATGAACATCTCAAGTCAAATATTTCTGTTGGCTAACCTCAGAAAAAGAAGGCATATTGCATACTTGAAAAAACATGTAATTCAACTCAGAATCCTCTATAGACAGCTCCATGTGGTGTCCCTATGTACTGGGTTTCACATTGGATCTGTCACTTAGCCAGGAAGTGGAAGGATATGACTGATGGCAAGTTATCCCAAAATGCCCATGAGGAAAGCTTGGTGGATTTCTGCAGGAGTCTAGGCTGGAGTATAATCAGTAAATTAGTGCCTATCTTCCCATTTTCAGAAGTTAAATAAGGAAATGATACTTGACTTTAGAAAAATACATTTGACTTTCTGCCAAACAGAATCTGATCTCATGGTACACCACATTGATTCACACCTGGAGTGCTACTGGGGAGAATGGCAAAATGACGGGCTGAAAAACTTATCCAGAATCGCCAAGGGGCTCCCCGTGGAATGATGTTTTCAAAGTTGGCTGATGCACGTGAGAGGGAAGCTACATTTTGACTCTGAGGTTCTGTCTCACCCGGGTCCTGGGTTCTCTCTCTCCAGTGTGTGGCAGCTTGCTAATTCAATTAACTTCTTTCTAGCTGAACAAGAAAGGGATCAGTGAAAGGTTAATATGGTCCTGGGCAGCTTGATTCAGCTGAATCCTTAGCTTCCATGGCACTGTGATCTGTAGGAGCTGAGCCGTTTGGGCCAACATAAAGCTAGGGGACCAGGTCTCCTACATACAAACAAGGTCTGAGAGTTTGAGACCCTGGTCTCTAGGTCTGAGACCTAGAGAGCTGTAAGTAAGATTACTTGGGAAACTAAAGAGTAGACACAAACTTACCTATAATAGATTACAGCCTTGCTTAATTTTGAGTCTGAAAGTGTCTCATAAAGAAACATTTATAAATGGAATAATGTTGATAAGACCTGGACACCAAGGTGACAGAGGGGTCTCTTTCTTTATGTGTGTTAAGGAAGAGGGGTGATCAGATTAATATAACCTGTTTTATTCATGATTTTAAAGCAAATATAGATGCCAGATTTAAATGTACATGTACACATACATAGTCCATAAAAATAGTGAAATTAATGGTATTTTGATGGTATATCTTCAATTTTATAAACACACTCACACACACATATATATTTCTTATATTTCACATCATCAAGCACATTTACTGAATACTTATTTTACGACTGGCCCTTTACTAGAGACTCAAACAAGAATGAAACAAGCTCTGTTCTTGAGAAGCTTCCTAATCAGGTGACCTTGCTCTGAAAACTCCATACAGAAGTCAGTTCCCTGAGTTCAAACTTCCCTAAAGAAAGGCAGTGTCCGGCCGCCTCCTGAAAAGATGTTTGCACAGTGCTTTACCTCTCTCGGTTAATGAATGGCTCTAAGTCATTAGTGTGGCGGTTAGGGTGATAGGAAGTTGGAAGTGAAGCCTTTGGCTGAATGGAGACAACGGTGAAGGGCTTCTGAGATTCTATGAACCACGTGTCTCACATATTAGGAAACTCAAGAACTGACAGGTGTTTTGTAACCATCACAAGGAGGGAAAGGGTAAAGTTCACAGGCCTTCAGAGAATAGGTAGGTGGCAGATGCCTCACTACACACACACCTGCTCAGAGCAGCAAGGAAGATGACTCATATCCCAAGCCAGAGGGACTGCCATCACTGTGTCCCCATGGGATATCTTCACCCTACTCCTACATCTGGCAGTGGAACAGGCATTCGGGAAATGAGTCTGTTTAAAAAATTATTTTATTAAAGTAGAGTTGATTTACAGCATGTTAATTTCTCCTATACAGCAAAGTGACACAGTTATATATATATATATGTGTGTGTGTGTATGTATATTCTTTTTCATATTTTTTTCTATTTGGTTTATTATAGGATATTGAATATAGTTCCCTGTGCTATACAGTAGGGCCCTGTTGTTTATCTTCTATGTATAATAGTTTGTATCTGCTAATCCCAAACTCCCAATCCA